TTTTTTTTTTTTGCAGATACTACGTGTTGACTATCATTGAGATTTCAAGCGCTTTGGCTTTAACCTGCTGGGTTTTAAGGTTCCATCATTACAACACATCTATTGGAAGGATCCCAAACTGGGTCAGGGTATGACTTCTCCCTATTCAGTAGATACAGTATATTCCTTTGCTTGCTCATCAGGAATATGTGGTTCTCCTGAGTTCGATGCATTGACCCAAACTGGGTCAGGGTATGACTTCTCCTTATTCAGTAGATACAGTATATTCCTTTGCTTGCTCATCAGGAATATGTGGTTCTCCTTAGTTCGATGCATTGAGCCTGTTTCTGTTGTTTTAAGGTATGCATACTCGGTTACGTTGCCAAAGCAGTGCTATACAAAGTTCCAGAAGGAATCTCCATGGCAACCGAATCAGTGGAAGAACAAGGTGGGATTCGAAACTAAAGATTATAAAAAAACAGGACTAACTTAACTTGTAACAAGAGGTATTATAATTTATGGCTTGTTCTCTTCCGAGGAAGCACTTGAGTCAGCGGCAGCTGCTACACTTTTGCGCTCACCAGAAACAAAAGAGAGATTAAAAATTTATTTATTTCAGGATCTACAGGGGGAGGGAGGGGGAGAGTTTTGAGAGGATCACATAGTTTTCAGGAGAAACGGAGGGGAAGTAAATAATAACCTGTCTTTGAGGAAATTGCCTGAATTAAATGTTTGACAAATGAAGAACCCTTTGATTTCAAAATCATAAAAAGCCAGCAAGTCGAAATCTCAACCCAGCCCTTTCCTCCACTCTCTTGATGATTTGTCGCTGATTTATCACCAAACTGTTTGTAAGCATAACTTTTTTTCCAGAAAACAGAGACAACATTGACAGAGAAATCAACGGTAGCTCCTTGGCTCGTCGACGTCTTCCCAAGGAGCCTAGCGGTATTACGATGATGGCCGAACGGGAGCTGAAGAAACAAGAAGAAGGGAACATACAGGAAGAATGGCAGCTTGCCGCGCGCATCATCAATCGGCTTTTCCTTGTTGGCTATTTGATTGCCGTTATCTTATCCATATTTGGTATTTTCTTACAAGTTCCGGGAGTTTTCGTCTCTAGGCCCTCGCCGCCAACTTCTGACGAGGAGTAGCTGTGGTTGAATTTCTTCGTGTAAGTCAAACAGTGAACAAACACAACATTTAGTAAGTAGATCAACTGAGCCGTTCAGTATTTCAGCCAGTCAGTACGCTGGTCAACAAATCTGCATTTCAGTAAGCGATTAATTAAGTCAAAACTTGGTTTGTCAGTCAGTCACAGCCGTTTCGTTTTCAGTAACTAGGGAACCGTTTACGATACTATTACGGCGACGTGTGGTAGAACGTTGCCGAAAAACGCAGTATATTTCCCTCCGAGACTTTTTCTGCCAATTAATAGCTCGATACGTTTAACGTTTCTAAAGGTACGACATCTTCACTTCAGCACAACATGTAAATGTAGTGTTGAGTTTAAAATAATAAAGTGTCTGAATTGCTGTCGAGGTTTCCTCGCTAAGAGGAGGTAAAAGTTGGCGATTTCACGTTTTAGTTCTGTGGGACGGCTAAGAAATGTGCAAAGTTTTAAAACGCACGTGTTTTTGGCAGTTGTTTTTCTCGTTAGGTCTTTTGTTTCACTAAGATTTAGTTGCCGTCGCCGTCGTGGTTCTCGTTAAGTCCCGGACTTAGTCAGTAAGTCAGTCATTACGTTTGTCATACCGAAAGATAGCTCTTAGTAAGTCACTTAGGCAGTGAGCCTGGCAAACCTTCAAGTAAATGGGCTCCTTGCCATTTCTCCTCTTTACTTAAACATGAATAGAACATCCCGAAGGAGATAAAGATCTAATCGTAAAGTAGAGATCAGGGGATGAAAATAAATGGATTTCTTGTTAAGACATATAATTGAAATAAAAAGATCAGATAGTCTAGAAAAGCCGATTTATTATCTTGTGAAAGCTGCTATTCAGAGACACGGGTCACGAAATCTGATGGTCTGGGGTTCGACTTCTCGTGGAAATTACACATTTTTTGTGCCTCGCTTGCAATAAAAATACTTTTTAATCATATTGTGACTATGTAATAGATATGATCTCGATGCGCTTGCACCTTAAGTTAAACTGTGAAGTGCAATTCCCATTGGTGCATAAACATACGAAAAAAAGGTTCCTTATGATGGTAGCTTGGTTCTCACGATTGAATCATTTTTGACTAAAATCACATCGAGCTCAAATCAGCTGAAGATTACCCCAGGATCTTATATGAAAAAGTCTTGGAAGTTCTAAAGGGGAAATTATCACAGAATTTTCTCGATATCAATCCCTGATTTCACCAAGAGAACTTTGACTTCGATTCATGTTCTCAGTCTTGAGCAGTCTACAAAATAGAACTTTGAGGGTGTTTTTAAATACTGCCGCGCAGAAATAAGAACGTTGGAAAATTTTACCAATTGGGAAATAGCTAAAAATGACCGTGGCTTTCAACGGATCGCAAACAAAAACTGACTTAAGATTACTTTAGCCTGAAGGAAACGTGCACGAAAACAAGAAACAAAAGCGGCTAAACCACCTCGCACATCAGACATTTGACTAAATAGGAACTCGGCCACATTCAAAAACGTTCCAGGGGGGCCTGGTTTACGTAAGTCCACATTTGGTTAAGTAACAACCCACGCTTTCCGTGCATTTTTTCTTTTTTGAAAGAATTTCAGGAACATTCAGATCGTGGTATCCATGGAGGCAAATGAACGTAATAAATTTGACTGACAGATTCACTTTATTACCCTTGAAAAATTATCATACTGACCACTTCACTTTTAGTTACAGTATTTCAACTGCAGAAGTGATATTCATTTAAATCCGGCCAAACTCACAATTTGCATTTCAATCCATTAAATAAATATAAATATTGATATACACTTTTTCGCACTTTGAATCTCGTATTCCGATGTCGACCGATAGCTTTCCCGGATTTAAGTGATCTGCATTCATTCAGTCAAAAATCTAGATAAGTAAACATTCTTTCAGTCACTATGTTTTATTATTATAACTTTTAAACGTTGGATGCGGTATGACATTATTGAAAAGCGTAAAGAAATTCATTAAGTGTAACATAAACTGTGGTGTCTGTGCAATTGTTAAGCGATACGCCAATAGGATTCAAAGTGATTCGATACGTAGCTAAGGAATCTTTGAACACTCCGGCCTCCGGATGAGAGTGCAGAGGGTCAAGACATCGAAACACGTTGATATGCAAGAGTTGTGCTTATTTGACGTTACGCTTCACAGGTAGCGCGCTCCAGCTGGTTTATCTGTACGCACAAGAAACTAATCGACGCTATAATTTTCTTGTGAGCAAACTCGTGATTGACGTGTTTTTTCGCAGATCAACATATTTGCCTTCCTGAAGTTGGAAAATTCATCGTTGGCGCTGAACCGTCGATTAAATTTAAACCAGCTAAGAGTCAAGGAATATGATTACACCTTCGCACTTTGCAACAGCGGGTTACTGAATGCCTGTTAAGACGTGGACGTTCACAATTTATGTTTCCGCTCAAGGAGACTGCGTTTAAAAACCGTAAAGAGGCGTCAAGCTTCGAAACAGACGATTGCATCTTCATTGTTGTTTCTCGAATTATTGTGATTAGAACGTCACTTGGTCCAATATATGCACTGACAAAAAAAAACAACAACTGACCTATATCTGTCTCAGAAGCAAACGACCTGCTGAAAACAACAACAATTCTGTTATGACGGTACGAAGGTAAATTTGATCAGACGCAAACTCGTTGTTTACATCAGCAAGATCTCAGGAGAGAAATAACAATGGAAAGACCTCGTCAAAGATCATTGCAAAAGGAAATTTTGATTCAAGTTTCAGAGTTTCCTTCGAGATCGAATGCCCCTTTAATCAGACAGCGGTCACGATCGTTAGGAGAAGGGGAAAGCTTGAATCCTATCATTAATAAGAAAGGTAAGTCGAATATTATCACTCAATGAAAACTTTCAAAATTTAACGGGGCTAGAGTAGAATTCGGACATCTGAGGGGGCAGAAGAAATAGATTTGCTCGCGATTGCGAACATGAATAATTTTTTTTCGCCGCTTTGTCTTACATACATAGCTGTTTTATTGTTTGTCTGGTCACATCAATCCATTGGTATATTTGCATCTGTTTGACATGCACTCATCTTGAAATTAAATGTGCAAGATGTTTACAATATTAACATCCAACTGCAATGTTTAACATGAGCTTGTAACAGGAGGCGTTTTTTAAATAGTTAACACCAGGATTCTGTTGCCTAAATCGCTTTACAAACTTAAAATTATGAACCGCAAATATTTGTATGCGTATTACTCGCCGTAAGAGACTTTTCTGGCTTTAATTGCAGAGGAACCCAATATTTGTTTTCACGCGGCAGTAACCCTTCAAATTACGTTTCATTCAAATGCACAATCGACAGACATAAAAATAACCTTTTCTTTTATTATTCCGATGATTCCAACCTTTTTTTATTTTTTCTCTTCAAGGTTCAGGCTATAATTAGTCGACAAGAAAGGAATTTTTTTATGTTGAGGCATAAATTTAAGCTAGGGCCCGTTTCGCTCACAAGCTCATGTAACTTTACGATCGCGAACTTTAAGGATTAGTTTTGCGAGTCCAGTCTATTTTTTTCAGTTTTGCACTTTTTCACTCTTCTTTTTCTATATTTTTTCTTTAAAATCAATTCGATTTTCAGTGTTAACCTCACAAACAAGTTTTTCGGGCCCAGATTCCTTACATCACGATCCCATGTCTTGATTACTGTTTCTCAGTGATCCATCCGGTTAGACCCACCCCTGTACTGCCCTCTCCCTGGAAAGTAGGTGCAAAGGAAATGGAGCTAATACATACGTGCGTTTTGTATCCGCATAAGGGAATCGTAAATATTATTTCTTCCGGTGATTTAGGGAAGGCCAGGGTCACGGTTAGTTTTTGCCAACATTGTTTACCTTTTTTTCTGATGTAAATTGACATGGCAAAAGCGTGCTAGCGCCCAAATCGTGTCGACAGAACTAACCAGGATATTGATGCAACCAAAGCGACGAGTTTTTTAAGGCTTAATTCCACAAGTCCAACTTCCACATAGTCTCGAAGGAAAATGCGCCTAGCTCATATGGTAAGAGCGCACGAGGAGCGCGCAAGATTTAATAATGTCTGAAACACTGAACGAGGAACAATCAGAATAAACAAGAAAGAAACAAGGATGGTTAAAAAATGGGAAGATTGACACGGATTGAAAATGACGAAGCAACCTCGTTCTCACGGTTCTTTCATAACGTACTCGTCTCCCTTTAAGGGACCTTTAGCAGAGAACCCTGGGAACAAAGTTGTAACGAAACGTGAGAAATGAACGTGCAATGACACATTCCTTTAAAATGTACATGATGTTTTGTTTTATGCTCCACGTGACACTGTCAGGTGAGATGTTCTCATAATAAATTGTCCGTTACTTTCGGCGGCTTGCGTTTCTAATGCTTTTCTCTCAGATGTTGGCATAAATTTTAATGGCGAAGCGATCAGAAGATCTTCGTTAATTCAAGTATCGAAGCTCAACATTTTGGTCCACTGGTTGAACTAAAAGGTCAGTAGCATGTCATGATGTGGGACTGACGAGTATATATTTCATTTGCGTCACAGGTCGTCTAAATTTTAGTTCAATTCTGGTAGAAGTTTGAAAAAACATGTCTAAGTTTTTCCTCTAAAGCTGTTAAAGTTTTGTACATCTATCCTTGCTTTGATGTACGTCCTCCAAATGCAGCTTTGCCCGGCAATAACCAATCAGATCGAACCTTGTGCAAGAGTAACGATAGTGATGACTGAGGCATTTATGCTCGACACGAGATGTCTACTGGAGGACAAACTGCGGCCCAAAAACCATATAAGTACATAAAATATTTCCATGTGTAGAAACAAACTGATATTTTAGGGATTATTATTTTTTTTTGAATGATTGGGAACTTACTTTTGCTACCAGGATTCACTTTGATGCGCACCTAAAATTAGAATTATTTTCCTCTTTTTCCGGAGAGGGAGATTCCTCTGGAGTTAAGACAGTTGAAGTACTGCGCTGCAACCTAATAAGGATTTGCTTTTTTTATTTCAATGAGTTTTTAATTTATTTATTTATTTTTCGCGGGTTTGTATCAATCAAGAGATCAAAAGCGACCAACATTCTCTGATAAATGATTTTAAAGTCAACTAGCATTTATACGAAATATAGTCTGTGTTGGTAAAAAAATGTTTCCAGAAAGGTATATTGACATTTCCTTTCTTCTCGGGCAGAAGATGGCGTGAATGAAGAGGGGGTGTGTTAATATTTTGTAAGTTCTCTTTTTCCAATCTGGCCTCGGTAAAATGCTGTTACTTCATTATTCCATTGAAAAACTATCCGTCATTTTATACCTTTTCGGCCCATCACCATTCTTTTGGACTGAGATCGAAAAGAATAGGTGCATGGGCAGTTTTGTCGGGCAGGAGGGGATAAGGGAAGGGCTGAGGAGACAGCTTTAACCGTTTTCTACGGATGTTTATTACGTTTTAGGCTCCTATTTCTTACCGTTCATCGTTTAAGGACCAGTTGTTATTAATCATCTGAGGAAGGAGGGGTTATCCGCTCTTTGAACAACTGGGCCCAGACTCACCCTTTTACAACATAGAAATGTGGAATTTTTGTGATTCGCACATAAACGCTTCCTTAAAATCTCGCTCAATCAGTAGTTCTTGAACTCAGAAACTCAATTAAACAAAAGAATCAAATCGATGCTACGTCAGTTTATTTACTTTCATCAGGTCACCAAGGTTTGCAATGTAAACATGTTGGCTTTCCGCTTCGCGAACTTTGACCGGGTATACGTCATGGTAACTTACGTTTACGTCACGATTGTCAAAGCTTGTTTAGCAACAGGAACCGCATTACAATTTAGACATGCTCCGATTTTTTTTTAACACTTCTTTTAAAGGAATTGAACGCGTCAGGTTATTGCATATTTTTTTGCGTGTTTTTTTTTCCACATTTTTCAACGGTCGAGACTTTTTCCTCATTTACCGCGCCACTTCCGCTCGATTTGAAAACCCTAATTGCATCATGGGAAGATAAATAAAATTATTTTTGGGACCTTTGCTCAATGTTGGTCTGGAACAATGTGACCAAGTTGTCATGTAATCGGTGACTTCGATGGCTGTAAAACTTTCAGAAGATATACAATATTTCACGAGAGAAGAACTAAAAAGACGCTGCTTACGGTGGCGAAAATTTTTCGCGATCGTTCGCCGTGAGCTCGAAAGCTGATGTCGAAACCTCCTGCATCTCCTCGATATCACGTCCGAGGTAAAATTCTCTCATTATACTACTTACGGCTGGAAAAAAAGACTTTTATTCACACCTAACCATTTAGTGCATGTGTTTCTTGAAGGACTGATGACCTCAAAATATGACTTTTTTTGTATGTGTTGGTGCACTTATGTAATTGTTTCGAGTATAAACTCACAGGTTGACCGCGATCCTTACTTAGTTGTTGGCCTTGCTTTCTGTGGCATGGTACAGTTAGGTAACTGACAATTTTAAACTTTGGCTGAGCGCTCGACATGTTTCTTTTGGGTGGGAAGCGGTCATGTTGTCAGCTCTTTATTTTGTTAGTGCTGAGAAGCGAATAACTGCTGGGAGGGCTAATCATCGTTCCATGTTATCGTTGACCTTACCTCTCAAGGTCATACCTAAACGTGTCAATATAAGCTTGAAGAAGCAAGCAGTTTATCGATGCACATCGATTGTCTTTCTGAAGATCATTTCGTCACAAGTTATCATTTATTCATGACCTCAGTTGCTTGGTGGTTCGGCTTTATTTCTACCAATTACATCGTTGTTTACTTTGGAGCGAAGTCCATCGAAATCGTTTTGATAAAGCAATGAACGCCTGTGCTGCCTCCGTTCGTCCGTGAACATCATTCATTGTTTCCTTCGGGGCTCTCGATTTGAGGTAGAACATTTGAATTTTTGTTTCCCTCTTTTCAAAGCTTTCTTTTGGCTCTACAATCAATATAAGATATAACAGTAATGGCCTGCACCTTTATGCTTTCATGCGCGGCCATATTCGTTACGTATTGTATACTTCGATGTTTATTCCATAGTTTGAATTGTGTAAATAGAAAAATACTTTACAATAGCTGTAACTTGTTCGTTATTTTTGATCGCGGGACTGTATCGTTTGAACCCGAAATACAAGTTGATCCATCTGATATTGTATCTCTGTATCTCACGAACTACAAGAAGCGTCGAATTCTATAATCGTAATTTTTATTATTTTGCTTAAGTGTGTTGTGATTTCTCGTCAATGGAGTTTACATGATGTGTTTATTGCAGTTAATATTAAAAAAAATGATATTGATTAATTTCAGCGTTCGCTGAAATAAAAGTTTTCGATTGCATGGCAAGGAAATTTTAGGATTCTTACAGAGTTTGCACGAAAGCCAATAGTCAGATACATGTGCTAACAGCTGAACGGTGTCGCAATTTTATTAAATTATGCAGCTGGTTTTAGTTAATGTTATCTTTTAAATGTAGGAACGTGATTGCATTGCAGCTTATCTGAGTTGAGTATTAAACTGGTTGTTTCCCACCTTGTTTTAAAGAAAATCTTGCATATGGTGCATCCACTATTTAGGGTTTCTTGCTGAATTTGAATTAAGTTTGTCTCAAGAGAATTTTGTAAGGGAAAGATATGTTTAACTTGGCCCACATGTGGACTTTAAATTTCATGGTTTGACAGTTTCAATTTTAATAACTACTTGTCATTTGCTTGTTGTGATTGCTTGCATTTCATCACTGGATGTTGGAAATTTCTGTGTAACCCCCTAAGAAGTCTTCAAATGATATGTGGCAGAGTTGGGGGAAGAAATTTCTGTAAAGCTGTGAAGGTAGTCAGTCTTTTTTATTGAAGTTGTTTCCAAAGTACATTGTAGGTGTCACACTGGTTTATGATTGAATGGAAATCTTCAGTAAACAATGATGTTCATATGGCTAAACAATTAGTCTTACACATGTGAGTTTTGGCCATCTCAGATAATTTAGTCTACTGTACATGTTTCAAGTTTGTCCCTAGTAAACCCCCTCAAAAAAAAAAATCTCAATCAGTTTTTCTATCTTTGTTTGATTCCCTCTTTTTTTTTGTCCTAAGTTGACAACTTACAGGTTTTTTTAAGGGAAAGATTATGCTTTTGTGTATATAGTAATGGTTGATGTATACACAAAAAATGACACAGATATAGGAAGACGTTCCAATTGCTAATAACTTCTAGGAGTTAAAAGGTTAAGCCAAAGGTGAGTGGTGTAGAAACTTTTGAAGAGATAGATTTTTGACAAAACATCAGAGTACATACAACATCTTGATTATTATTTGGAGTCCAATCAAATCCTTCAGTCTTTATTTCAAGATCTTTGTAACTATCTAGTTGGGTATATTTTGAAAATTAAAAGTTTTACCTTTTAGACATTTTCTTCAAGCTTGTTAAAATGTTTCTTCCATATTGTTGTATATGTGTAGTATACTAACTTCTTACTAACAAGTGTGAGAGTTGTACAGTGGAATATTGGCCTGTTAGGTCTGCACAAAAATGACAGCTCCCATAAAGCTCAAGTAAGCGAGATTAGTGAGTAGTTTATTGAATGGCACTCAGATCAATCTTGATATGAATTTTCTGGCTTTTGCAAACCAAAAAAAGGCTCATGATGGTGATATGGCAAAATCCAGACCACGTAAGAACCAATCAGACAGCAAAGATCTTCCTCGCATTTATTGTACCTTGCCTTATGATAACTGATTGTATTTACCGTGCATTGTGGCACTGTGTCAACAAACTAGTGTTTTTATTATGATCATTATTTTCATTATTATTACAGTGTGATAAACTATGGGGTTATATATTCATTAAGAATTAAAAATTTTTCTCTTAAAAATTACATGTTCTGTAAATAAACTGTAAAGAAGATATTATGGCAATAAATTGTGGTAATATTGCAAAAGCAAAAGATACTTATTTAATACTAACATCTGTTCTTCTGCCCAGGATGAAGTGTCTTTATTATTCATCAATTGTGCTAGATAAGTTTGATTGTTCTAATTTCTGAATGTTGAAGTCTTGTGTATTACTTAAATTTATTATTCTTGTATGGGATTGTAGTTTGGGGTGCAGCTTATCAGCAAAAATATCCAGACATAATTGACAGGGCCCACAGGTTTGGCCTCACCACAAAGAAAACAATTATAAATGACTTAACTAAAGATGGGGACTCCTTGGAAGCATGAACTCCATGATTGGCTACCTCCAAAGAGGAGACTTGTGCTCTGTGGGTGCCAGCATGACTTTAAATTACCAAGAGTTAGAACCAAATGCTTCAAGCATCATTTCCTGAATAGATGCCTCTTGCATTAAACTCACAGCATATAAGGAACTTCATAATGTTACATAATGTTATCAATGTTGCAATTTTTATATTCTTAATTACACTTATAATTTTCTTATTAACACACTGTAAAGTTACACAATTTATAAAAGACAGGGTATTATTTTATTATTATTACCATTAAATTATTTGATTATGAAATTGATACAATTTAGGTTTGCAGGTATTTAATCCTTCTGGATTTAAGCAGAACTCAGTAATTTATGCTGTCTTAAAAAAAGCAAATAGATATTTACTGATAAGAAGGAAGGTGACGCAGGGCTGAAGAGGCATTTTTAGAGTGCTACTTACTTGTGCCAAATGATATATGTTAATTATTATTTTGATTGAATTGGGACATATGGCAGTTTTTCAAAGTACTTTTCCAGATTTTTAGACAAGAAGCCTCTGGTTTGGAGGCACGAGCCCCTTGCCTACAAGAAACCAGTGCATTAAATTCTATAATTGTTTTTTACAAGCATTTTTTTAATATATATATATATATATATATATATATATATATATATATATGTTCATACATGTTTCTAGGGTACTGGTGTCCTGACTTACAGATGAGATTTTTAAGCTTCAAACATTTATATCTAGTATACAGTACAACTTTGCAGACCAAGTGTAATTGATTACTGAAAACAATTTTTAAGTACAAAGAAAAAGTTTACATTATTTTTTTATATCAAGCTGTGTTTACTGGCCAATCACATTGTGTGATTCTCTGGTTGATGCTCCATGCTTGTATTTCCAGTTTGGATTTGTCTACAGACAGTAGCTTTACATTATTTAAATATGTTATCCTAAATATGAAATTAGCACCTGCACAAATTAAATCTCTATTTTATGGCAAGTGGGTTGCATTTGTTAGAGTAGAAGACTATTTGAAAATTCACATGTAGGAATTCTTTAAGTTGATGTATTCATACACAATAGACAGGGTATTATTGAGAAGTGGAAACTAAAAGGATTCTTAGTCATCCTGACAGGTAGAGGTTTAATGTCAATGTTTTTTTATACCCTGTTCTGTATCTGCAACACAATGTTTCCAAGGCAGTGCCGATCAGATATTTATCCACCCAATCATTATATAATTCTCAGATTAAATTTTGTTGCTTCTGGTGTGAAGAATATTCACCTGTGACTAAACAATGATATTAGTCTTCTGTTGTTACATTAGTATATCTCTTTATATAATTTATACAAATTCTTCCTGAATTTGAATATTAAAATTCAGCCCACAATTAGTTTAATTTAATAGCCCTAACAGTAAAGTAAAAAATGTAATTTAGGTATGTTTAATGTCTTGCTTGGGTGCAAATGACAGACTTGACCGTACATTTTGTGCATTAAATACACATATGTACTCATACTATGAATTGAACCAAATCTTCTTGTTTAATACTTTGAACTTATTACAGATAACTTGAATGTTAACTGAAGTAATTTGTCATACTTTCCTGTAAATTGGAACGGTCACTCTAAACAGGCACTTTGATTATTTGGTTGTGGACAAAAGTACTGTAGATCTGAAAGCCTTAACACTTGCCAGCTATTTTTAAAGCTAGCTTTACCTGTTTGAAAAACAGGTTTTAGATGATAAAATTTAGGATTGTTTTCCAAATGAATCTTAAAAGAGTATATATCTTTCAGAATACATAACATGTATTCCGTGTTTGATTAAGTTTTATTATTGAGTTAGTAATCACAACAAGTTTGGGTTTTGGTGATTGTGTTTTGCTGTTCATCAAAATATGCACCAGCTTGATTAGTTTAAATTTGTAAATGAGCATTGTACTCTTTACTGAAGATAGTGACCTCTCTTCTGTATAGACATCAATATCTTTTCATATCTATGATCTCACATAATGTTTTAAGTCCACAGGAAATAACTCCCATGTGTGAGATATTGATTCAGAGTTCCGTCAACACAACATGTACTGAATTTGTTCATTCATTAATTTAATTTGTTTTTCTTTGTATTCAAACTTTTTTGAAATGCAGTGATTCAAATAAAACTTCCAAAGCAGAGTCCCAGATCACTGAACAACAGTGCAACTTCATTGTCATCACTTGATGCCTCAGCTGGCTCTCACTCTCCCTCATCTCCTCGAAGCAACAAGACACTAGGTACAGCATCTCATTTCTCCTTACTGCATCACTGCTTATTTAAACAGTAAGGTTTTGAGAATAAAGGAAAGGTTCACTAGCTTTTGATTTTCAAATCAGTTCTCCATGTCAGCGATGTAGTTTAGGAAGTGTATTGAAGGCTGGTATAGTATATGGTGATGGTGCGTAGTAATGTAAAAGTTTTGAGGGGTAACAATTCAACTGATGAGATTTTGACAAGGTTAAAAAAATTGTAATGTTATGGAGGTTGGAGGTTGGAGGTTAAATTCATTTTGAATTTATCAGCCATGAAATCCCAGATGGTTGGACATGTCACCTTCGTGAGTTCCTACATTGTAACTGATACATTTCAAAATATATACAAATTTTAAGAGTTTTTTTTTCCAAAGAGAAATATCTCACTTTGGGGTACATTATCAAATTTTTCACATAAGCACTGATTTTGGAAGGAAGAGCACTGAGTTAGATGTTATTTCAGAAATCTTTTGGCTATTGTCACAAAATGAGCAGGTTCTCTCAATAAGGTTCTAAAATAAAGACTTGGTGCTTTTATCTCGGAAAATGAGGTGCAAGTATGTAATTTAAGTGTATTTTGAATAACTACAAGTCAGCATCTTAGGGAGTTGTGAAATATTTGCCTATTACAGGTTAAGAGAAGGTCAAAATTAGAAACATGTTGGTTGTCTGGGTAAGTGGCAATGACAATCCTACCATTTTTTTCTTGTCTGATTCTTGTCTCCACCAATCAAGTGCTTAGCACACATCAGTCTACGGAACTTGCATTAGACACACATGTACAGGTGCGAGTTAATTAAAATCTTTTTTTTGCCAAAAACAGCAATTCAGAGACTGTTTGGAAGGAGCAAAGAGAATCATGGTGCACATAGTGGAAGAGAAGATTCAGAGGTAATTTTTCAGATACTGTAGAAAATTTAAAAACAACCTCTGCTGGGGGAACAATGTATTGTTAGATTGTCAAAAATGATCTTTAAGTCAACATTTGTTTGCCTAAATCTTGCTTCTGCGGACAGAAGTCTCCAGCCAAAATTAACAGTCGTGGTGTTTGGCAATTATATCAATATATCAATGAAGTGTTGTAATCTGTATCTTTCACAGAACGAGGATGGCGGCTTCAAGTTAAAGTTGAATGTACCTACAACAAGGCACAAACAGTTCTCTAAAGTCCTGGCTGAACTCAAAGATAGAACGATGCCCTCCTCGTAAGTAGCACAATTTTTAGTCAACAGTTAATAATCACGATAAGAGCCTTCAGCAAAAATTTTATAAAATTGTTTTTTTTTTCGTCATCAAGATAGTCAAAGGGAAATTCTTGGAAATGGAAGAAAATTATGATTGTTAACAGTTATTTTGTAACTACCGTTACGGTAGTAAACTTTCAAACTCTGCGGAGAGACAACTACTTATTGTACTTGTGCATGTATTTATAGAAACATCTTTTTTCTTTTTAGCAGCACGAAATGAATTAACGAAATTAAATCAAAATGACAAAACTTTCTATTACTCTTAGGCTGGGCAGGCGCCGCAGCAAAACTCAAGAGTCTTCGACAACAGACTCTCGTAACAGCGCTGATAGTGATGGTGGACAAGGTCGGCCTCGGGGGGCTACTTCAGTTGTGAGCTCTTCCAGCGGTGCTGGGTCAGAGATTCAAACGAGGGCAAGAAGTGGCACAGGATTGTCCTTTAATGAAGATGACTCTGGCGAAGTAGATTCGGTTCGTACAATGGCTTTCTTTATTTCTCTCTTTAATGTAATCTGTCTTGTGGTGACTTTTAGAGGAAGAAGTTACTTAAAAGTTATAATAGCAGTTGTGTGCATGTACAGTGTGTATGTACACGTTACGTTTCTCTTATGTGCTGTAGATGCTGAAATTTTGGTGCTTTCATTTCGAAACTATCTTTACCTCTTCCCCTGTCTCAGCGCTAATGAGAGCCTTCCCACAAGCAATTGTGTGAAATGCTTATTTTTTTTATTGTTGACCTCTGGTGAATCCGGCTACCAGGTTCCTATTACGGTTGTTAATAATACCTAATAGTTTGTACTCTTGGTGAGACAGAGGTACTGTTGCAATCCAGAACCTTGCCCCAACTAGGGCTAGAACCTAGGCCTTCTAATCCGCTGTATGTCACACTAGGAAAGTTGTATCCTATTAATTTTACTAACAATATTAATCCGTTGATTTTGCAGCTTGATGGAACGTTTAGTTCTCAAGATAAGGAATATGATGAAGTTGATGGACAGATAATCGACTCAGAGGTGGCCTGGATTTGTTCTTCATGCTAAACAAACACTGCTAATTTTGTCAGCGTATGAAAACCTACAAATTTCTTTGACATGCTCCAGGCTACAAAATATTATTTCAGCTAGATCGAAAAACACAAAAGAGGCAACAGTGAACTAAGAAGGAGCAAGGATGGCTAAGGATGAAAACGATTTACAAGTATTGTGAATGACCATACGTAAAAAACCCAAGAAAGGCAATGATGGTCAAGGAGGAATAAGAGGCAGCGACTGAAAGAAGATTGAAACAGAATATTTATTTATGACTGTGAATATATGAAAATCACGTATATGTGAACTGCGGTTTAAAAAATGAGCATGGAAGCAATCGTCGCTGTAATAAACACTACTTGAGCAGTAGTGAAAATAAGGCAAAATGGCCCAACCCAAATGGGTTCAAATCAGTTGATAGAGCACTGCACCGGTATCGTAGAGGTCATAGGTTCAAATCCTATACAGGCCTGAATTTTTTTCAGGCCTTATTTTCACTACTGCTTAATCAGTGTTCATTACTGCAAAGATCACTTCCATGTTCAGAAAGCAGATTATTAAAATCTAAAGTCTACAATAGTAACGTTTACACTGCCCTTACGTGACTGAAAAGATTAAGGAAAAACTTAAGTTGTTCTTCTGAGTGTCCCACATCATATTTATTGTTTTTGTTGTTTATTTATTGTTGTTGTTTGTTTTAGAAACGAAGACAGCGCGTGGAGCACTTGAATTTCAAGATAAGAAGAACCAAGGAACAGATTCGACAGCTACAAGATGAGAGAGATGGTGAGTGATATTTTTTAACATATGTACTCCTCCTTACTCTCGATTGCGAAGACGTTGACACCTGAAAAGCATGAATCCTTGTAAGATGGGACACAAAAGCTTTATGGGTATAGATCTGTGATTATCACATTAAGTTGGGCGTGGTGAATGATGGAAGCTATCCAAACAGAATCACTGGGAAAAACTGAAAAAAGTTTGCCATGAACAACGGAAGCAGCAGGTCACTGATCATGCGATTGTTCACATACTGCCAATAAAACTGTTAGGTGTCGCCTTTTTTGGATAATTTTTTCAAATGTCTACCTTGATTTTAGCCGAGTGCATACAACAGAGTAACGTGCACTATCACAACGGCAATTAGCAGGATTTTTGAGAAATTAGCGCGTTAACTCGATCCTCAGGTAATTTCCCTTTTTTTTTTTTCGGGCTTCATTTTCAAATGATTATTTTATGCGATAAGTTGTGTATTGAGAGCTCTATCGATACCTCTGTTCTTTAACTTTTTGTGTGCCTGGTCTTTCCTCTGGTACGAGTTAATTATTGATTTGATGGTATGATCTTGAAACACTGTTTCCCTAATATGCTCGAAGAAAGAAAACCACGCGTAGCAAATCATCGCCAAGTGCAGATGGGCCTTTCCCTCATGTGTAATTATACAGTGGGTCTTATTTCTCTCTACAGAATATGTGAAAGAGTACCTGGAATCGACAGAGGGCGGCTCGCAAAAATCTAAGTAAGTGCTAACCAGGGTCCTTCCCTGAACCAGTCTCTCGTAATTTTTGCCCCTTGCTCGTGGACGTGACGTTTCCGAAAAGAACCCGATCATTATCGAGAAACGTCAAGGCTCTCAGAAGACCCTGCCTTAAAGTAATCAGCCAAACATAAGTGAGTTAAGAAAGAAGCAAGCAAGAATCTGCTAAAATATCTTGAAAACATCGAGAGCACTGAGGGCCTTTGTGTGCAGATTCATGCCTCGACAATTGATTCAAGATGCCGAAGAAATTTCCCTTAGAGATGTGCCCACCTTAAGTCAATTTAAGCGTGGTATCAAGAAAGCTTTATTTTAATTTTTTTTAATGCAGCACTAGCTTAATTAAATTAGTGTTAATTTTTTAATATAATGTATGTTTTTCTGTTTTATTTTTTCGATTGTATTTATATTTACATTTTTACGTAATTATATTGATTTGTAGTTACCTTTAGAGGACCCTTCTGTAAACCACTCTTTCTGTGATGTTGGCATCCTCAATAAAGATAAACTATTATTATTATTATTAGATGAGGCTGTTGGGTCGCTTCGGATAGCTCACGATAGCTCACGATAACTCACAATTGTCGATGTTAAACAGCTTTGCACAAAGTGTTATGTGCAGCGTAAATTTTTTAGGAAAATTTGAAATCGCGAAAGTCGAAACAGTGAAAATAGCATTCCTAGTTGGTGGTAAGTCATCTTTTCCGTACAGGCTTGTTAATTTTAGGACATTCAATAATTCCGCTCAATTTTTGCTAAGAAAATTTCATGAAGAGAAAAGACAAACCGAACAAGTTAAGCCGCCAAAAGTAACTTCTTTTGCTCGTATTTATTTGATAATTTTCCCCAAAAATTTTGCCTACTTGATGCACTCGAACCAGTATTTTTTGGCTCACATCCAAAGATTTCGAACAAGTGCAATTCATGTGAGGTATGTTACCCTGACGCGTGACGCGTTGCGCTAGCGACCTATTTAATATTCACTGCTGGGACGGTATCACTCTTTGCGATCAAGTGTTCGATACGATGTACTTTGTGGAACTTAATTAACGTCCTTTCCCTTTCAGGGCTGTCTTCGAGAAGAAAAACCAGAAGACAAATTCGGCAGTGGCTCAACAGCAGAAAAAGCTGGAGAAATATCATAATGAACTAATGGTGAGTATTTATTACTTACACATGGGGAATCATGTTATGTTTACGTCGTATGACCTGATCACAAGTCTTTCCTTTGAAACACTCAGAATCTTAGAATTTGTTGCATTGCATTTAGGATTTCGTGGTGAAAGGCGCAGTTTTGTAGGGTTATGATAGGGGTTGATTACGAGCACAAAACATGGATCAATCTTTTTGGAGATAGCTTCCCTCGAGTGCTTGTGTCTTCAAAATATTCGACATATTTTTTCCTAATGCGGTTTCAACAAGGTTTGTGATTGTCTGTATTTTGTTATTAATTTATTTATAATTATCATGCGCGTGGCTGTTCAACTTTGGTCAACACTCAGACAAAACTGACGTACGGACATTTTTGCCGTCTTGTTTCTAAGGTTGTTCATGGAACACTGTATTTTTTTCAATAAAGATGGTCAAAAAAGTGCCCCCAATATGGGCAAAACGAATATCTGTGCCCTGTATGACGATTAAAGCTTCATCTTCACTTTTCGCGGACGAATTCACTATTGTGTGAGCTGTAGAGAACTGAGTGACGCGGTAAACTATATGTTAGGTTCATAAGTGTCAAGCGTCCTCTATACTCTAAGGATCGGCAATGTAGACCCTTCACTTTTTAATGTGATTACTGATTTAACTTCATTACAGGGACTGGAAATGAATGGTGCAGCCCCAAGTGGACACATTGCTAAAGAAGTATTCAAGTAGGTCAAAAATTTACCATTTTTTTCGGTTAAATCTCTGCTAGTCTAGAACTAAGTTGTTATCGTCGCTACCAGTTTGACTTTTAAGCGTCCCTTTTTTTTTAACAAACTGCATTCCTTAGGTTTGTTTAATTTTAAGAGGCACTCGAGTGTCAGCTTGTGGATTTTGCCCCACAAGCTTATATCTTTCAGACTGTGAAAAGCGCTGATCGATTTTCATGTCTTCGTATGTGAATTCCAGCAATTTCCTGTCGATGAGAACACACACACAAAATCGATAAGGATCATTTGTATGGGAGTTACGATCTTTAGTGAAAAAGAACTTTTTTCTAAGTTATCCTTTTCCATCTCTCTTATCCTTTTCCATCTCTCTTCTTTTTTATTTTCTTCGTGTTTGTCGAGACATCCTAGATAGTGTTGTTAAGACGACAGATTACATACCAGCAAGGACGGTGTCAATAACCGTAAATATTTTAGCATGAAAATTTCCTCCGAGAAAGCTAATGGAATTTGCCATTGACGCCATTTTCGTGAAAAGAGGTTACAGCACGTATTGAATACATAAGAATTTCGACTAGCGTTTTATTTTAAGAGATTAATTGGTCAACAAATTTTTTCCTCAAGGGTAACGCTTCCTTCCCCAACATTCCAAAGTTCTACTCCCCTTCCCTATCCTCCCCCCTCTCTTTCTCCTCCCCCCCTCCCCTCTCCCCATCGGCAATCCTCATTTAAATCCCGCGGGGAAAAATAACCACGGTTTGTTTTCGTGGAGGTCTGCTATCTATTGATAATCAAATCTAACATGTCAACCCTCTATTTTTAAAAATTCTTCAAGTAATAAGATATTCCAAGGGTTTCTAAGGGGATTTTCTCCCCTCTCTTAAATTTCTTCGACTTTCCTTACAAAGTAGCATTGAAATGTTGGGAAAGCATCTAAGATCAAAACTGTTGTAGTAGTATCAGTGCAAAGACATTCTAAAAAAAAACATGAAACTTTGCCCAAATGATATTTTCGAAGGAAAATTAAAAACTTCTTTTGAATATAGGTATAGCAAATTTCAACAAAATTTCACTGTTGCGAGAATGTATTCTGTACAAGATGCTGCTTGATAGATGCTACAAAACGGCTGTCATTTTGGAAAATTGACTTATCGCGTCCTTCGTCTACAAGTATCGCCCGAGGAATGAATAATGTTTTACTTCTTTAGCGTCTTTTGTTTTCGTGTCACTCTCGCACGCCAAAACTGTTGACACTTATTTAATAAAGGCTTTCGAGCTAACGCTCAAAAAAAAATTATTAGTGGCCAAAACACCTGTAAGGTTTTTTGGGCACTTTGTTAATGTGGAAATTTAGTTTTTCCTTTTGTCCCTTCGGGGGTCGCTTTTACCGTGAAAATTTTAATTTCAAAACTAAAACATCATGGAATGAGCTGTTTTTAGCCTAAGAGCTTTTCGTTTTCTCTTGTGCGAAAATATTCTCTTCCCTTGATAATTTATAATTTCTTATGATTAGTTACTGTTTGTTTACTGCTCAAGCTATCCAAACCGAGTTAATCTGTATTAGACAAAAGTATGAAAGGATGGTTGTTTTACGCAACGGCGGCCCGCAGTATGCAAATTCACCACCGTGAAAACGTGATGAATATTGAATATATTATCAGAATTAGTAATTTCTTGTATTTTGAAGTTCGGAAAGTGAGAGGAGGAATTCGGAATTTTACACCTTTTTTCGGCTTCACTTTTTAAAGTGGACGGAGTGCTTATGTCATCGTCTTTCATTTCATGGCAACTGTGAAGCCTTCGCGGTCTCTCCCGAAAATCGCTGTGAATGAATCTTCCGGCCGCGAGATTGTTCAGCCGGTGTTTCTGTCGCCTAAGTGTGGTAGAAATCTGCGGACAACCCTTCATAAACACAGGTCGTGTCTTTGGCCGTAAGTCATTCACAACTGTGCAGAATTATGTGTTGCCTCGCACAAAGCTGTAAAATTTTCTAGCCAAAGTATTGTATTTATTGATTTACATGTGTATGGTTTATTCATTTACGACAAACGTGTAGCAGTCCCTTAAACGATGTTTTCACAAAGGAAAGGGATGAAAATTACTCTAATTACAATGTAACCTAGGCTTTCTAAAACGCAGATTATGTTTCAGATATGTCATTTAAGTGATAATTATCATGTTTTCGTGAGCATGTAGTTTAAATGCAAAATCTTTTAGTTTCAGACGTCCTGACCTCTTTGAATATCGATTCTGCTCCCCTCACGACAGTAGTTTTGTGGCTGCCTGTGTTTATTTCATTCAAACCTATGTTTTTAAAACCAAACATTAGTATTTAGAAGTGTAGAATTTTTTGTGATAATTTAAAATAACGAGAGTTTTCTTTAGAATTTCGTGTTTGCTCGGTTTACTGATTTTATTTCCACTTATTATTCCTTCAACACCTTCGCATTTTGTTTACACGAAATGACTTATCATTGTTTACAAATACGTCCTGTGGTAATACAACTTGGCTTAAAAAGACTGAAGCAGCTTTTCTTTACTCCAAACTTCATAACCAAACAGAAAAATTATCATCATTCACGGTACTGTGTTACATCAAACATTTTCAGCTTTCATATTTGTGGGTTTTTAGCCACGATCAAAGTTCCCGAAGTGGGAAAAATATTCTGCAAAATAAAACGCCGAGAAACATTCCCTTAACTTATTCAACAGTCTTTGTATTGGGATTCATTCGAAAAATCCATATATGAATCAGCTTCCATGTAGACCTAAAATTTGAATAGATTTCGCTTCCTTACGGGCCAACGTTGCGCAGCTTGAACAGAAAATCGTACGATCCTCCACAAAACGAGACCTTTGCGTTATGTATATTTTATTGACGAGACACGGTTCTAGAACTGTTTTTGAACTTTCTATTCAGTACACAGTTGGGGCGACACTTTTGCGGCGTTTTTAGACTGTGGTGCGACAGGGTCTCCATATTGTTTTAATAAATCATGGGTCTTACTTATTTTTTTATATTTTTGTTTCAGGGGGGTCAGAGACGGAGTGAAGGGGTAAGAGAACGTCTTTTATAGCCATGTTCTTACGGTACTCTGTAGTAAGGAAAAACAATTAAAATCGAACCTCATTCTATGCGAAAAAGTCACAATCTGGGATTAAGGGTTCCTCTTAAATAGAACTGCAGGCTTAGAGGATTATATGGTCTCAAAGAATTCATGTCATTTTCTTCTTATAATTTGTAAACAAAGTATTTCATTTAAAATTTGTGTTTTTGTAGGGCGGTTACCAGGCCTCTTGAGATTATCAAGCATCGGAGGTTTGGCAGCGCGGAGAATGTGAGCACAACAACGTCAAGTCCCGGATCAAGTATGTGTTATGTCTGGTTTGTCTTTTATTTCTTTTTGTTTTGTTAGTTTTGTTTTCAACCATGTTGTTTGTTTGTTGTTTGTTTGCTGTTTGGCTGACTGACGGACCCATGAACTCTCCAACTTTTAGCCACTGACCCACTAACCAACAGACCGTCTAAATGACTGACTGACTGATTGACCGACCGATTGACTGGCTGTCTAACTGACTGGCTGTGACAGACCAACTGTTTGACTCAATGAGTGAGTGAGTGACTGACTGACTGACTGACTGACAGGCTGGTTGTCTGACTGACCTACTGTGCCAATTCCCGTCAATCTTATCAACGCTGATAGAGAAACTAAAGAAGAAACATTGTTTAGTGTGAACTACTCTACCAACCATTTTTTAAGAGTTGTTTAGACAATGAATCGGTGTTTGTCCTTATTTTAGAGATCGATGGCCTTGAAGAGGAACCGAACAGCCCTCTTGGTGAAGAGGGTTATGTGGCAGATTCCAACCTAAGGTAAGCGTCAGCGTCGTCGTTCGCTTACGTTTTGGCTCGTCGTGCAATACTTTCTGTGATTGCGTGACAGTGACGTACGTCTCCACTGATATCCACCATTTATTCGGAAGAACACGATCTGGAAACTCGCAATTGAGGTTCACGGCCATTACTGTGTAGTACCGTTGATTGACATTGCGTTTTAGTGTCAACAGAAGTATGTGTCGCCTACTCATGTCGGTTAAGTCCATGGTGATCTCTGAGCATGTTATGTATTGAAATATTAAATAATTGTAATTCAAACTATTATATTTTTGTTTCAGTGCGGCGAGATACAACAGCGACGATGATTCGTCGAGTGTAGCGTCAGCTACACATATTGGGTAAGTCCGGCAAACTTGAATAGTGATGGTGTAAAACTTAGTTTCCCTCACCCCACCCCTCAAGGTTGCTTTTCTTCAAGTGACTCTATCATTTACGGTACCTAATATGTGAGAAATACGTCACGATGTTTCCGAACGTAAATTCGTTTTATAACTGGCTTACTCGCCGTGAAGGGTCCTTATCATCTCTAATGGTTGTTTGTTAGCGTCCTTCTCAGTAGCAGTTCGTGATTTTACGTGTCAAATGAAACCAACCTTTAAAAAAAATCAGTTGCAACAAATTCATTTCAAGCATATCTATGTCGTTGTTAGGGTCCCAACCCACAGTAACAGCCCACGTCACAGCCTCCCTCCCAGTCCTCCCACGTCTTACGATCAGGATATAGGCGAACTTCGGAAGGTCAATGCCAAGCTGCACGAACAAATAGACAACTTAACGGTGAGTTTCTTGCTTCCTTACAGTACTGTCGGTGATTAGGAAATTATTTCCTTCAGGCAAAGTGGGGAGATTTCTTTGAACGTACTTTTGAAAATTACCTTCAGTTCACAAAGAAAAAATATTACAACAGTGGAGACCAAGGACCTCAGCTATTAAAATTCAACGTGGATTCAGCTGGACGGGCGTTTGAGCAATTTAAGTGAAGGATTTAAGTATAATTTAGCTAATTTAAGCCAAGCGCTATTTAAGAAGTAAGGAAGACAAAAATGATGCTTTTTAACAGCGCCATCTTAAAGAATCGAGTAGCTATTCAATAATGGTTGGTTATTAACTATTTAGCAAATAGCTGCCGGATGTCTGTTCTATGATTGATCACGCATGTCGTCAAAACCGTCAAACCACTTATTTTTAGTCTGATTCTGTGTGAAAAATCCTGCGTAGATGGTTTTGAAAAATTCTGAAGCAAGCTTCTAGAATGTTTACCGTGAAAATGCTTTTATTTTTCAGCGTCAGTTAAATTTTATGGCCGAATCACTTCACGAAGAGAGATGCAATTCCGAGGTTTGTTTGTGTTCTTCACATTTCAGCTGTTGAAGGATTTCTTATTATTGCCTTTTTCTAACTTAGTGACTAATATCTGTTATCATTATTAAGGTTGATTGACTTTTACGTGGTAAATGCCATACCTTTCCTATCGAAATTCCGCACTTACAGATTTTCCTGAGCCCGCAGTTTCATCAATTAGTCCTTGTTCCTAAACAACGTGTTGTATTCTGTTGATGCATTTGCATTATGAAGGCGAACCCCAAGTCCTCGTGTTTATTACGCTGCATGTTCTTGTGCTAAACACTCAACAATCCAATTTCGAACAGAAAAATAAATTAATTTTAAAAGAGAATGGACAAAGTAAACGGGTTCCTTTAAACCATACGTGCGCGTGTTCTGTTGGCTCAAATTTCCAAATACTTGTTTTACAATAATGCAATGGAGTTTATGTTCGCGAACATAAATATGTTTTGGGATCGACGGAGAGTCATTTTAACCCGAGCCGTTAGGTGCAGGTGAAAATGACCCTTAAAAAAAATGACAACAAAACAGTCGGAATAATCACGTGAGCGTGCCAGCAATTTAGTCTGCCGAAATCTCAATTTTTTCTCACAAAATGCGCCACAATCTCCGACAAGTGATTATAGTTGTTGTTATACTCAAGTTATTTTTAGTAATAGCCATCTTCACTTGTTCCGAAATAATAAAACTTACTTCCATTTACTTTAGCAATTGCGAGACTCACTGAGGAACATAACAACGGAGTGGAATGACGTGTCAGAACTACGTCAAAACGAGGTTAGTTGGGTATTACAGTAATTTCGAGGGAGGTGGGGAGAGTAAGGGATGACACTTACTGGCTTGACTGCGGGTAAAAAAGTCACGGAGACTTTCAAACAGCAAGGTGATTGATTTCCTCAGGCGTCTAAACCTGCAAATGTATTGGCCTGAGCTCAAGACGTCACGTTTCTTCAAGAGTTCGGGAATTGATCTGCCGTGTTTCTGAGCAGCCAGTGATTCTTTCTTTTTTCCTTTCTTTAAACTTCGAAAAATAAGATAGAAGCGTACTACATTTAAAGAGCGTTAATAGACCGACCCGACAAGAAAGATACTTAACACGGATATATCCAAGCAGTGTTGACGGTTGCCTCGTATGGAGGTTCAATCCCGATTGGCGGTTTGTGGACGCTGGCTAGACTCATGGAAGTCTTTGGCTACGCAGTCATCCACTTTCTGTTTAAGCGAGGAAGTGGTTAAATGTCAATTTCTCCTTTTCTCAACAGATGATAACCGTAAAACAAGAGCTTGAAAGAGCCGAGGAGCGCATTGAACGAATTGAATACCGGTCTGCAGAACGAGCCAACGAGATCGAGGAAGCGCTGGAGTCTTACGTCACAAGGGTAACCGCGCGTTTTTTAAGTTACTATCGGGCGAAGGGTAGCTTGGGAACGAGGTTGCCTCTGGTCTTTCTAAAACTTCACGCGTTGGGATATAGAATTTTGGGAGAAACTGTTATTTGGGGATAATGGAACGTAAAGCGGAGACTAGGAATTGGAATTCGCATTTGTAGAAGTGAGGGCTTTTTGGTCAGTCTAGTGCTCTAAGTCTTTTCTGTGAAAAAATAAATTATTGAAGTCAGTTCTGCTGAGGTGTTGAAGGCGTCTAAGGTTTAGTATTCAGGACGCATGCCACATAGGAACCTAATAATGGCGCCGGAGGTCTGGTACTCAGGTTTTTTTCCTAAGTCCTACGCGCATGACAAACAACAAAACATATTTCTTTAACTCCTCTCTTAACTCTGTAATGAAACCGAGACAAACCACGGCAATTGCAATGGTTCTTCTGGCTTGTAGGCTGAATTAACCATGTTGTTGTTGTAGTTGTTTTTTTGTTTTTGTTTTGTTTTTTTTGCAGGTTTTAAAAATTGAAGCATTTCAACAGCAGAGCCAACAGATGATGGGGCTGGATGATTACTTTGATCAGAGCGCGCAGGCCAAAGCGCTTTTATCAAAATTTCTAACAGTGGTGCTCGCCATTTTACAAATTTTACTTATTATATGCACGACGTTAGCCAGAATAGTTATTCCCTTCACAAGAACAAGGTAAGATGGTTGCTTGTTGATCAATTAATCTATTTTGTTTCTAGTGTTCTTCGCAGCCGTTGTTTGGGATGTCAGGAGACGCCCCCCTTACGAGAATCTTTCTACTCTACCTTGCTCTTTGTTTTGTAGAAAAATTTTTTCTTGCAGTAAGATAAATGCCAGGTTTCTTTGTTATTGATACTTTTTGATAACTTGTGTATTAATGCTCTACGAGGAGGATTTTGGTTGTGTCAATTCAGGCGATAGATGACAACTGGTCCCTAATATCCGTTGCTTCGTTTTTCAGGTTTCGTATTGCAATAACAAGTGTCGTTATTTTAACCGTGGCCATATTATGGAGATATCAAGAGAGCGACAATGTGCGGTTCGTTATGGATAGCGTCACAGGACAGTTCACAATGATTAGAGAAAGACTCGCATCTCTCGTATTTCCCCTTGTAAACTTCGTGAGAAAGATATATCAGAGAGACTAGTTATGACAAAGATTTGTTTGACGTTAGAAGTAATAGATGACCGGAACTTAATACTTAGACAGGATGAATGCACAATTGCAATTAATTGATAGTTTTGTGGTTTTTGTGGAGCCTTTTTATCTGTTGGAAGAAAATCAAGAAGGATTTGATAAACAGTTTAACCTTCACGGTCAGTGGCACTTCTGTGGCAGAGTAAAACAGGCCGCTTACCATTTTTAGTGTGTAGAGGATTTTGGCAGTTTCTTTGTTTTATACTGTATTTCATATTTTACACTCACTCGCGCTGCGCTCAAAGAAATTCCCAGTAACTTGGTTAGACTGATCAACAGTTACGGGTTTCAGAACTATTTTCTTGGCTATTTAGTGGCTGTCTGTCGGGTCACTCCTCATCGAAAACGTGCACACACAAAAAAGCAATAATTGTAATTAATCTAATTTATTTTTCTCGCTGGTCCGAAGAACAAAATCATGACTTGATTTTTACTATGAGAGGGTGAATCTATTTATTTATATGAACGAGAAATTTAATTGCTTCGCTATTAAGCATTATATGGAGCCGGAATCGACAATTGAATTAAATCTAAACCGCAAAGGAAATTTCAATGACGTTTAAGACCATAAGCACTCAGTTTATTGTCTCTCCTAAGGCTTGACACGTAGGTAGCGCGAGAAATCTTCACCTGGAAAAATTTTACCGCGTGCGGACACATGGACGCCCAAAAGGTAACTAAACTTAGGAGAGATACTGTTCTTTAGAGTGAACTTGAAGTTCCAAACAGCTCTTGGTGACCACCAGTGCTTTGAACACAACACAACTGAATAAATTATATGTACCCTTCAGGAAGGGGGATTATCGAATGTCTTGTGTTGATGGTTTCTTAGTTTTCTTGTCTATTCATCTACTATCACAGTGTTGAACCCAGGCCCCGTAACGAGAACACCAGTTCGGACGCTCCCCCTCCTCACCCCCTAGACCCTCGCAAACTTTGAAAGGTGCTAGTACACGGTTCACATGACTGGTACCGACAATCTTTTGCAGATGTAACTTTATCAAGGGCTCATCGTGGTCGATATACCACAACTGACAGATTATTGTTGGATTTCTCACAGAGTTACAATGCCGTAAACTCTTGTCGTTTTTTATTTTGTTTATTTATCGATCTATTGTTTCGGTTCCCATATCAAACCCATCCACCTACCCCACTTTGCATTTCTGGCCAGCGGATTGGTAATGAAATCTGCGCCTCATATACCTTGCTACCATGTGTCTCCTTTGGCGCGTTAAACTTGAAAGATGGCAGACTACCCGTCAGACACGAAGAAAGATCTTTCTCAAATTGTGAGAGGCTCTTCAGAAGCAGTAGAACATTCTCAACCTCGTGTTAGAAGAAAATCTAAATACGCTGGACCAAACGAAGAATTTCTAAAGGCTTTGATGAACTTAGGGATCTCGCGAAATGCAGCTGAGAAGGTGAGTCGACTTGACTGTGCACGTGTCAGTCGGCTGAGTGTCCCTTCTGCGAATTAGAGAATTAGAGAAACTTCTACGATTAAAAACAAGACTCCAATTTTTATATTTAGCTTATTCCTTTCGAAAAGTGTCGATGATCAAGTCCAACTTAAATAAACCAATGCGTTAATCAGAAATTCTAGCTTGTGCAAACTATTTTTTTTGGTACAATCTTCCATTCAAGTCTAAAGTACACATCCGAAATCGGCCCGGCAAGGACTGCCGTGTAACAAAGCAAATAAAATTTGCAGATATTTAGTGCTGATCGTCCATTCATATTGTCATCGTGTCTGTGCAATTATTTATTTATATGAGCTTAATTCGACGGATGGAGATTTTCGTTAAACAAATGATTCACTTCCTCTGTAAAGTTATCAGAGACTTGGATATTGTGTTGAAGGTTATGCAGGGTTTATTAGTGTCGTTAAATGACGAAGATAATTGTCAAAATTAATGAAAATGTCACAAATTTATGATTAACCCTTTGACACCTTAGAGTGACCAGCATCCAATTTCTCCTTACAATATCAATCCTGAATCACACAGGGATGATGATGTTGGTGATATTGTATGGAGAAATTAGAAACTGGTCACTCCAAGGCTGAATACGAATTTCAACAGAGTAAATGAGGGAAACATTGGCCAAACTTGACTAGGTCAGGTTCATTTTAAATTAAATGAAAGTGTCATATTAAATGTTAGAAGGAAATTTTTCTCGGATTGTTTAGCTGGCCGTGGTCTTTCTGACAAGGGACTAATACCTGCAATCTTGCCAATTAGAGGTTGCAGAAATTACCTGAATTATTTATAGTATTTGTGAAGTATCGTCACTTACTGTGACCCTTGTTTTATGTGACTTACTGATAAATAACTCGTATATTCCAGGGTCTTTACATGACTGATAATAGTACTGTTGATGCAGCTGCCAGTTGGGTCCTGGACAATCAAGATATGCCAAATCTAGATGAGCCATTTAAGGTGCAGTGGATCACATTGTCTTCTGAACCTTAACATCAGTATGCATATTCTCCATACTGTTCTTTATACATTTCCAAAGGAGGTGACAAGGAGAGTTTGTTTAACAATCAATAACTTCTTTAGTTGGTGATCATTTCCCTTATTCTCATGACCTTTATGTTAGATTCAAGGGTGGTATTGTTGGGAGAATTTGGATGCAAGTTACTCTTAGGAGTTAAAGGGTTAATAGGTGCTATTCTTGAATGCACATTGGACATCGAAGAAATGTGAAATGGTTTCCATGTTTACATAGCCTGATGTAAACACGCGGGAGGTTGGGAGAACACGAGATAAGCGTAGGAAACCAGGACGCGAAGCGGAGTGGTTTCCAGCTTATCGAGTGTTCTCCCAACCTCCCAAGTGTTTACATCAGGCTATGTAAACACGGAAACCATTTTACATTTCTTTTATAAAATAACTAATGAAAGAGGAACGAAAACCATGTTTACATACGCTCATGTAAAATGGTTTTATGGCCAATCAGAGCGCGCGTACTATTTGAATTATTTTATAAAACTATTTGTGCAAATGATTTACATAATCATTGATTAATACCTACATGATTTACACACAGTCAGTATTGCTGATCTTGTTTGCTCTGTTTATTGAAGTTGCTACATTTACTTGTCATCACTATCATCACATGTGCATATTAGAAAGTGTCCTTCTCTAATATTTCATGCCAATGGTTATCTCACCTTAAACCAGCAAAAAGGCTGCCCGATTTTTTTTAACAATCACTATGGCAACTAGCTTGTTTACTCCCCTCCTCCACTTACTTACTTACAAACTGCCCATCTTGCCACTCCACTAGTGCATGGGCAGTGACAAATTCACTCCATTCTTTTCTTTCGTGGGCCCTCTTCTGGATTGTCCCCTACGTCTGGTGTATGGCTTTCATTTCCGCTTTGTCCAGTCTGCCACCAAGTTTTAGGTCAGCCTCTCTTTCTCTTTCTTTCTGGTGTCCAACGGGGGGCCACAATCCTTAATAAAATTGGGAAAGGGGCAAACTCTAAGCACTGGCCATGTGGTAACTAAAATGGTTGTAACTTGGAGTGCTGCACTTACTAGGAGATGGCTGACTGGGCCAGCTATGGCCTTTTCTAACTTAGTATCAGTTGAAACAGAAAGTTTGTTTTATGTAATAAATAATTTTTATGTATGAAATAGAATTGAGTGCTGATTTTCCTACTCCACAGGACTTTACACCAGCCCTTGAGGCTCTCCCTTTTGAAAAAGAATATCCTCTAGATGAAAAAACATTGAGCAGTCCATACAAAATGGTCTTTGTGGTAAACACAGAACTCAACATGGGTGTTGGTAAGATTGCAGCTCAAGTTGGCCATGCAGCTATTGGTCTCTATAAGATAGTGGCAACCCAGCCCCAAAAATATGACCACATGTTATCGCAGTGGGATGATTTTGGGTGAGTAGAATTTAACCTATACTTAAGTTAACCCTTTCACTCCCAAGATCTAATTAGTAATTCTCCGTACTATCTGCCATACAATTCTTATGATGTTAGTTCAGAGAATTTGGTATTGGATCAACTAATCATCCCATGATTGACATTCTTCTCTATTCTCATCACTTGCCTGCTTGATATTGTATTGATATTGTAAGGAGAAATTCTGTCTTGGTCACTTGTGGGAGTGAAAGGGTTAATAAATAAATTGTTCAGTTATACCATTACATCCAAACTGATTGAAATCACGTATGAGCTCATCTTATCTGTGAATAAATATCAGGTAGGTGATATCAGAAATGACAAAACAGAACACACAAAAAAACAAGTGATAGTATATCTGATTGATTTAGTTTGCAAGTTGTAATCTGTGTCAACCTCCCCTGCAGACAGTTACACATTTCCTTGTTAGTTAGGAAGCAGAGTTTTGTTGCATCAAGACAACACCCACAAGTGTGTTCTCATACTCGAACTTAATATTATCAAAAACATTTTTGGATTATAAGCTAAATTTTATTAATTATAAACTGTTTTGGTCTACCTTTAGGGCAACAAAGATAGTGTTGCAAGGTGAAAGTACAGCCCACCTGTTTGATATAGAGGAGCTGGCTAAAAAGGCTCATATTCCACATTACCTTGTCCATGATGCTGGAAAAACACAGGTATGCAACCTATTTTGTTCCATTCCACCAACAGAATGCCTGAAACAGGTTACTTCCCTGATAAGTGTTTGGTGAAGGCAAAGTTTGCATTACTTACTGATGGCTGTGGAACTCTTTTCCTTTACAGGTGTCATCTGGTGCATTGACTGTGATTGGTTTGTTTGGTTCATCGTCAGAATTAGGAACGCTCACAGGGTCATTATTACTGTTATAGAGTATATGACTGTCTGTATTTTGTACTTCAGGATAGGACTGACTGAGGTCAAGCTATAAAAGTGTTCGATATTATTAATTATCACTAATTAAAAATTAATACTGCTCTTTGGTGTTATGAGGAGGGATTATTAAAATGCAAATCATTAATTTCA